GCCTCTGGTGTAGCAACTTTTTAGAACAAATGACCTGAATTTAAAAGGTTCCCCCCCCACACACACACACTCTTGATTATCTAACATAATCTATAATTTCTAAGGTAGTTGTTCCTTATTATTTTATCCTTTTATTCTGTATTTATTTCCTATCATTAGTTTTAAATACTTGGTGAAACAAGATAGAATATACTTAAATGAACAGGTGATGAGAGGCAGACAGGCAGATTGGCTGGTGTGAAGTAGAGGAAAACTAGGGTAGTCATTAAGCAGACATCGGGGACCACAACTTCAAATGCCTATGGGGCTGGACTGGCATCATAAATTCATTAATGGAGCTTCAGAAGCACTAGACCCAGTGGTTGCCCAGCCACGTGCTTGGCTCCAATAGGTTGTTCTACTGCTGGACCCTATGGCTGTCCAATCTCAGCTGCTTGACTCCAATAGGCTGCGACTGACTCATGGCCACCCTCCACTGAGTATCCAAGGCTGTAAATCTTAACATAAAAGGATTAACTCGTCTTCTCACATGGAGTGAGCAGCAAGTTCAAACTGTCAATATTTTGATTAGTAACCCACTACTCAACCTATTAAACCACCAGAGTTCCTAGTAGACCCTTACTTTGTGAGAATTTTGAGGTGAGGGTGGCAGGTGATCCCATTTTGCCAGAGAAATCCAAATATTTATGTAAACCTCTCATGTTTGAACATTAGCAAGTAATGCCAAATGAATTAAAACACAAAGTATAGACCAAACAGGACATGTCCTTGGACTTCATTCAAGCCAAGGGCAACCATTTTGTAACCTCCAAACTAGATGGGTGGGTATTGAGTCCAACCCAAACAGTCCATGATGGGGAAAATTCTTTTCAATCAAAGCGAAGGTTTGATCATAGGAGGTAGCCATGAATCTAACAGAAAAGGCATCATCACAAGGAACAACTCCAAAGTCTTGGGTCTCTTGCCTCTTCTTATCTGAGACTCAGAGCTTGTCAGGGGCAGGGCTTATGTCAGGGGCAGAGACTATAATACTTTTTGCTCAAGACAGAAGTCTACTGAGTAAAAGGCACATGGAAGCCAGAGCAGGTGAAAGGGGACTTGTACTGACTGAATTTTAGGTCCAGATCTGTTGCTAAATGATTGTGTGACTGAGGACTCAGGCAGAGCCTACTAAGGGGCAGAGTTCTTTCTCCTGTGCCATGGGCTCCGTGCATTGAAAAATACAGGAATTCCCTAAAAGTGTAGATTACTGAGCATGTTAGCCTAAAGTATTCATCACACTCTTAGAAGAGTCTAACTCTAAAATACTAAGGACATTTAATCTGAATCACCTGCCCCACCTACAGTTAGCCTGGGAATTTCCTGTCAAGCCTCCTCTACAATTGATTATCTTTTCTCACCTTAATTATGCCCCATGATAGAGACTTCATGACTTTCTAAGGTGCTTCTAGTTAGAAAGCTCTGGTGGAGTAGCCAGAAGGGAGGGAGTTGCACTGCTAACATCAGGCCAACTTTCTGGTGGTTCAAATCTATCAATGGTTCCATGGAAGAAAGATGTGTAGTCTCCTTCTGTGTGATTTACAGCCTCAGAAACCCAATGGAGGGTCAGCAGCAAGTCAGTTCAGACTCAACAGCCACACGTATTTGAGTTTTGTAGTTGGAATATCACTTTATCGTAGTGACAAGGTATTAACTGACATAAAAACACACTACAGATTAAAATTGCAAGTGGGAGATAACGCGCGGTTGCCTTCTTATATAGCAATCACATTGTATTAAACCTCTAGGTTCAGATTGATCCTTACCATCCAGCCACCATCTGATCTAGTAACTGACTCATGACTCTTCTTAATAAAAATAATACCAGATAACATTTAACTTTGAAAACTCTTAATATCAGAAGAAACTGTTGACTCCACTGGTTAATTCTAGTCCATTCCCCTCCACTCAGTGACCCGGGCTACCCTCCTTCCTTTCCTGTGACCTCGTCTGCAGTCCCAAGGAACCCCTGAGGTGTGTGGGAGGAATGCAGAAACCCCTATAGCTGTGTCAGAAATTCCATGACCAGAATCAGAGCTGAGTTACCCAATAAGCATAGTACCAACCAGTCCAAGTATGTCTTCCGACCAATCTGTGTTACACAGTTTCACCTGTCCCCACCCCATCAAGCCAAACTCCACTGTCATGGAGTCACTTTTGACTCATGGCACTGCTCCGTCAAGTTTCCAAGGTTACTTAACTCATCATTCTCCCATGGAGGAGCTGGTGGATTTGAACCACCAATCTTTCAGTTAGCAGCCCAACATGCAACAGGTTATGCCACCAGGGTTTCTTCACCACATCAAAGATCTGGAACTGATCAGCACAGATCAGCAAGTAAATATAATTAAACCCGTGTGTATCTTGCTCAGTGGAAACTGATGTATACTGTGCTTACTGGTCAATCCTCTTCTGAGAAGTGTAGAAAGAGGGGAAGGGAGAACTGGAAGGGCCCTAGATATGCCTCCATGAGACCACAGGTATCTACAGCTTAAATCAGCATCTCAGTAGCAAGTCAGGACACAGGAGAGTCACAAACAACATGTTTCCAAGTAGGAATAGTTCAGAATAAAGAATAAAATAAATCTCGTGTTAGTAAGGGAAAGTTTTATCACATTTTTCTTCAAATCATTTCATATAAATATTTGAGTATGTGTCTGTGTATCCTGGATTGTGATATAAACTGTAGCTCTTAATATGAAATACAGTACAGTAGAGGAAGGTTCTAGAATCACTAGTTTTAGCCCCCAACACCCACACAGAGGCTACTTCCCAGAATCTCGAGCTCCAAAGACGAGAATTTCCTTCTGTGACTGATTTAACCGCAGCCTAACAATTAGAGGGTGATGAGAAAAACAAAACGAAAGCCTGAAGAGTCGATACTCAAAGACTCAGCTATTAGAGAATCCGTTTGATATGGAAATTGATCCCTATGCCCAGACAGCAAACAAATCATTTATTAATAAAGTCCAGTTCTACCTTAATGAAGTGGGTTTAATATTTGCTATTTCAGTAATTACTTAGTGCATTTTTAATAAAGGAGGTAGCAAGCAAATGTTTCCAAATCAAAATGATTCTCTAATATATATGTATATATTTCCCAGAACTTGTGAAGAATTCAACCTCAAGAAGATTAATGGAAATAAAATGCTACTGGGGAGAAAAATCAAGCTTCTGATTGAGATAGATGTTATTCTTTCCAAAAAAAATATATTTGTGCCTTTCTTATTAATATTTTGTTATAATTATCATCTCTTTTCATTCAGTTAAATATCTGTAAATATCTGTTCTTTTTTAAAAAAAAGAGGTTCCATTAAACCAAATACTGTGAAATTTAAGTCAACAACTGTTTTTAACAACTTAAAAATATATATCAGCTTCCTGAATTACTCTTTGTGGAATATTTTTTTAGAGTAGGCCCTTTAATTTACACATAATCACTGCAGTTTAGATAATTTAAATAATTGCTACATTTTGGCAATAAACATTACATTAATTAAGGGCTATGTTAGAAATATTAAGAACATCCACCACTTTCAGTTGTGTTGTATAAACAGAAATCTTGTTAACTTGAATCATTTGCCTTTTGCATGCAGGGATAAGGCGATACTGTTACCAAGGAAGATGGCAATTGAATTATTGCCAGGTTGTTCTGCCTCCCTTTGTAGCCGCACTTGAATGTCAATTTACCTTTAAGAGTATGTTGTTGCTGTTTGGTGCCATTGAGTTGAATAAATTGATAGAGACTCTATGAACAGTAGCTCAAACCCTGCCCGATCTTATGCCATTCTCACAGTTTCCTGATGTGTGGGGAGCCAATTGTTTCAGTAACTGTGTCATATAGAAGATATAATCTTACTTTTATTAATTTTTTTTTACCTTGGTATCAACGTATCCAATAGAAAAGAGGCTGGGGCAGAGAAAAACTGGCACCAAAGAGACCAGTACTCCTTCTCTGAGGTGGAGAACTAAGCCTCTGTCTCAGGGGATGGGATGGGACGTGGTGGGTGTGATTCCCAGCAGCCCACACCCATCCTTGTCAGCCCAGATTGACAGCTCTTTTCAATAAATGGATTGAACCATGTTTGCTCTGCATGCGAAAAATATGCAGAAGGGGTTAGATAGAAAATGATTCTTAGTTGGAATAAATCTATAGAAAATATTCTGGCAAGACCCAGAGGAAAACACCCACAGATCCCTCTGTAATGGGGAAACATGGAAAATTCCAACTTCTTTGGCATCTGTGATTCATCAGTTGGAGATGGGCAGGTTTATCACCAAAATTGACTGTCGTGTGCTATCCCCTGAGTGCAAAACTCTATTCCATTGCAGTATATGTGGGAGAAATAGTCAAACTGCTACTTTAAGACTCTTCCCCATGCTTAGCATCCTTAGTTTCCTTTTCCTAGATCCAGGAATTTCTAGTAAATGCCACAAAATGATACACAAGAAAATATCCTCAGATTTTTTTAACATTAATATTTTATATTCTCTAATTCCCACTTATTACTAAAATAGCCTTCCCCTAGTTAGCCCAAATGGTAACAATTTGGTCTATGATTTTTTTAAAAAAACTTCTATTTTTACCCAGATTTAGAGAAGGGAAAGATCATCATTCAGCTCGCTTCTCTGTGCCTCTGGTATCTCAGAAGGTTCAATGAGCAAGAGTTGGAATGTTCAAGTTACTTTCAAAGAAAGGGAATTACTTTCACATGTACTTGTTTTAAGTGTATTCGTCCTGACCCCCAATTGAAATCTGTCCCCAACACTTACACTCCCTCAGGATACACTAGGAATCATGGGGTGGGCCGGTGGTAAAATGGGGCTCAAGGCAGGATAGTCACCTGCAGTGTGAACCTACCCCTCCGGTTCGGACGCCATCCTTTTGATGGCCCAGGCTGTGGTCTGACAAGAGTGACAGTTGAGGACATCTACTCCAGTGTCACCTCCTCTGGTTCCAGATAAGATTGAAGATGAGCTGGAGATGACTATGGTTTGCCATCGGCCTGAGGGGCTGGAGCAGCTGGAGGCCCAAACCAACTTCACCAAGAGGGAGCTGCAAGTCCTTTATCGCGGCTTCAAAAACGTAAGAGCCACATGGCCTTGGGAGTCATTGGTGGGGAATCCCACATGTTTTAAGGTTTCTCAAATGAAAAAAAAAAAAAATCCCAAGACCTCATTTCTGCAAATAAACTCACTTCATTTCACGGCAACTGTAATGTGTGTCAAAGCAGAAATGTGCTTCATAGAGTTGGCTGAATTATTAGAAATAGATCACATAATCTTCCTTCCATCTGCGTGAATCCAAACCCTCAGTCTTTCAGTTTGCAGTGAATTGCTAATTGTTTGCACCAGGCATAGACTCTCCAAATGCCAAGGGACCTACTCAGGGAAATTTTTTATGTCTGTAAGCGCACAAGGTAGGATAGATCTGTAGAGAAGATACAAAAGCAGAACCACCTGGTCAGAAAGGAAAGCTTGGACAAGGATGAGGCTTGTGACTATAAATTGCATGACTCCCCAGAAATTTCAGAGTGACACACTTTCAAGAAGTCACTGACTCAGGTGCTAGCCTTACCATGAGACAGATACGTTCTCAATCTCCTTGTACCCAAAATGAAGGAGTCAGTCATATGCTAATCAAACTCACAGACACTGATAATGTGCGCTAAATGCCAGTGTGTTGTACTGACAGCAGAACCAGAGCCTCCTCTCTGCTCACCAGCACCTTCTCTCTCACTCTTTAGCTGCATGGAAAGTAAAATTTTTTTATTTTTTTAATTTTTATTTATATTAATGAACATTTACAGAGATTTTGGATTTCCATTCATTCACTGTTGCACTATTTTCTCTACCTCCCCCCAGTTCATTCCTCTTTTTTTTCTTTTTTTTCCCCCTTGAAAGTCTGTTTTAATTGTCCCATTGCCACAGTGCTTGTCAAAGCCAGTTCTGATTAATCTCCTTTGTCAGTGTGTCCTTTGCCATTCCCTATCACTCCTCACTGAGAGAGACTTCACCCTGATTCATAAGGAAAAGGGGACGGCATATTCTCTTAGCTACTTCCTGCTGAAAAGTGATGCTGTAGGTTTCAGGGTGAAGATCTTCTCTCACTACTCTAAAGGGCCCCTTTGGCAATAGAGAACATGTAGACTATTGTGGAAACTGATTTTGGAATTTAGATGCACTGTTATCAATTGTGCTTAGCCATACATGTTCATATCCTTGAAGATGTATCATGGAACTGTTGCAGGCTAGAAGACACAAATTTAACAAGTTAAAAGTACATGAGTCAAAAATTAAAAGCAATAGTATTCCAAGCAGAGGTTCCAACAGTGGCACAAATCAAGTTACAGAGGGAAGGTAGTTCTTAAACTAAAAGGCTTATTGACTAGCACTTTGTCTATTATAGTGTACAGGTTAGGAACCACAAGATGTAGAAGCTCAACTACATCATTTATTGTTCTTAAGTCCTGGACCAAATTCCATCTACCACTGGGTTGTTTTACAGCTCAGAAGTCCGGATGCAAGGCAGAGGTGAAGTAAGGAACTGTTTATGAGGTTTTCCGTCAATTCCAACAACTAAGAAATAGTGAGAATAGTTGGGACCTCAGAAGGCTCTTAGGCCCAAATAGTAGGCTCTTGTGTCCAGGAGAAAATGAATATACTTACCAGTAATGTCAGTGCTCACCCACAGCTGTTCTGGGAGGGTCTATCATTGAAGCGTCCTCCTTTGTTTCCAGCTGGGAGCCGGGGCCTGTCAGTCCTGTCAGCCACGAGGACCTGATGTGGGCCGTCCTTGGCCATGTGTCCTTCAGATCCACACTCAAAGCAAGTGAATGGGAGCTTTCTCTCTACTCCCTTGCCTATCTGTGGCTCTCGTCTGTGACACTGTCTACTGAAGTGGCCCAGCTTTCCACAGTGGAAGCAATTCTGACCTCCTTTATTACCTCTGGGTGGCACTGTTTATGAGTAAAGTAAAATCTTAACCAAAGATGTAATCAGAGTATAAGGAATTAACTGGTCTATTGTCTTCTCATATGCATGAACACATTTCTGTATTCTCAGGCCAACCTTCAAGCTCTTTGATACAATCCTGAGTACTGTTTTTTTTGTTTGTTTGCTTGCTTTTTGGGTTTTTGTTTTGTTTTGTTTTTATTAAAGAACTGTCGGAGTGCAATATTTTTTCCAAATCCCAGGGTGGGCAGGGAGAAGGAAGGTGCTTCTCATCACCCTCTCTCTTGGTAGTCAGACCTTAAGTCCAAACTGCCTACAGACCCAGTGCTCTCCAAGGTGCTGACTGGTTCCATTTTCACACACCTGAAAGTTCTCTGACATGCAGAGATACCTCTATTCTGCATTTACCTTGTGCCTGATGCCCTACCATTAGACCTTCTTTCCTTTCATGACAGAAGCATTGTTATCAGCTAACCACTGGGTCAGAGCAGGGTGCTGTGGGAAGATGGCCCAGGATGAGCTGACAAGGACCAGCATCCAGCAAGGAGCAGGCATTGACTGGGCTTTATCATGGGTTCACAGCCACATTAGTTTACATAGTAAGCCTCATTAAAACATTGTACTGAAGCTTATTTCTATATGTAAGAACTTTGGGAGATCAGAGATTAACTTGCCCAAGCCACAGAACCCGGAAGTTGCTGGGACAGAATCCACTCCAGGTCTTTCTAGTCTCAAAGCCCAAACTCTTCATAAAAATTTTCTTTTACACTTGTTTGCATACCAAATTCATATGCATTATGTTTCGTTCATGTACATTGCATTTCACACTTTTCATTCACATTGTGTTTGATATGGTCATTCATATACATTGTTTTATAAAATCCATCACCATTCGTATATATCCCATTTTTCAGCTCCCCATTAAATCTTTCCTAATTCCTTTACCCTTCTGTCTACCCTTCCAAATTCTTTCCACCTCACAGAGACTGTGTGCTGATAATGTCTCATCATTTTGCAAAGAAGCTTCCATCTTTAGATGGTGCCACTTTCTGACCACTCACAGATATAAGACTTATTGTCCAGGACCTGCTATCCATGGATCAGGAGTAACTGTAGGCCCCAAATATGAGGGCAGTTTTCCCCAAGGAGGGGTGCAGCTCCCCCGGGCTAGGACAGGCTCTCAGATATCTCCACTGACTCTCTCTTCATCACACAGGAGTGTCCCAGTGGTGTGGTAAATGAGGAGACGTTCAAACAGATCTACGCTCAGTTCTTCCCTCATGGAGGTGAGTCTGACCTGTCCAAAAACCTTGCCCACCTCCCTCATGGGTGGCTGGCCTTTCCTTCCTCAAACACCAAGTCCACTCTGCTGGTCAGTTGCCTCTTCTTCATGGTAAAGAAGAATTTGGAGCAAGATGCAAATTTCTGTAAAGCTTTAGGAGAAAAGAACTCTAAGAACCCTCTTCAAGAGAGAAAGGATTGCTATAGCATTGTCACCAATTCTCAAGGGAGCAGGCATTTGTCTCTCAGATGGGACACTTGCATTTCAAGAGGTTGAGCAACTTACATCACATTACATAGCTAGTGAGGGAGAGAGCCAGGATGAGATCCTCTAAGTGTGGGTTACGGGATGCAAAGCAGTGATATTATGTCAGACACTTTCTACTCTCTTTCTTAAAACAGATAAGACAAACTAGATTTTTAAAAGAATTTTATTAAATGTCAAAACCCAAAGGCTTCTGTCATCAAGTAGATTCTGACTCATGGTTCCCCTAGAGGTCAGAGTAGATCATCCCGCAGTGTCTGCAAGGCTGTGTTTCGTTCGTCGTGGAAGTTGACTGCTGCACCATTCTCCCATGGAGTGCTGGTGGGCTCGATCCACTGGCCTTCCTGCTAGCAACTGAGCACTTAACCACTGTGACTAAAAATAATCCAAAAATATTCAGGAAACATTGATTGTACTTATAGAGCCAGATTAACAATTATTCCATGCCCTGAAGGAACTGGCTGTGTCCCCAGAGGTCTGAGACACATGTGTGGCTCCCCCTGTGGCCTCCATGCGTCACATGCTCCCTCCCATCCTGCCTTCTCAGACTATGTCCCCGAGTCCTGGCAGAATGGAGTTCTAATCATCCCCAACAGTTCCAGGACCGTGTGATTTCCCCTAGGGTGTGACCCAGGGGTGAAGTCCTCACTGAAGAAGCTGGAGAGGAGAGCAGCTTTGTCCCAGGCAGGCCCACAGAAAGAGAACTCGTTAATTTTCTTGAGCATCTAATTACTAAAGTACTTCATTGTGTCAGACATTGCTGTATCTTAACATTCTTTCATAAAAATTCCAAGAGCTGGATCTTGCTACATCCTGTTTTACAGAGAAGGGAAAATATACTTCAGAGCAGTGAAGTTAGATGTCTGTGGTCACACAGACATGCAGTTAGAGAGCTGCAAGTCAGCTGCCACGTGAGCGCGCATTGCACAGTGATGCCCAGCCTGTCAGAATAGCTTATCCACACACTCATCTGTCCTCTACAGCTATCCATATGGATAGGATTGCTCCCTGCATGGTGGGAGAAAGGAGGAGCAGAACTTGTGTTGGTTCTTGCCAGAAAATCCCTTCTAGAACCCAGAAGAGCCTGCCGAATCCCAGGTCACATCAGCAGATTCCCTCACTCCCAAATTTTCTTCTTTTCAGGACCCCAGCCACACCCTTCCCTCTTTCTTACTGAGATCCTACCTTTATTGTTAAAAAAACCTCTTGACTCTGTGGTGCCTTGTTCCCCTCACTAGTCCTGCCCTTTCTCCCTACAGATGCCAGCACATATGCCCATTACCTCTTCAATGCCTTCGACACCACCCAGACAGGCTCTGTCAAGTTTGAGGTAAGTTTGTCTCATGGGTCACTCAGAAGAGTCCTGAGTTTTGTGTCACTTCTCCCTGCAAAGTAGGGCACTATGGGGATGTGTGCCCACCAGCTGATCTCAGTCAGGGCACCCCTATCACTTAACGAACACTTTCAAGAAAGAAAAGAGAAACAACTACCCTCCACTTGCAGAACCCAAGAACTCACAGGACTAATAATAACCATGTAATAAGAGCTCACACATCCACTGAGCTTACTTAGTTCTTTGCACATATTAATTTTATTAATCCTCGCAATAACCCTACAATGTAGGCTACTATTGTTATTACTGGTTTACAGAGGAAGAAATAAGACAAACAGAGTTCGAGAGATTTCTTCAAGATTAAACTGGTTAAATAAGTAACAAAGGACTTGAACTCAGGCTGTATGTTTGCAGAGTCCATGTTCTCAGATCTGAGACTTTACTGTCACTTATACGATAAAGCAAAAATTTGTCACAGCCAGGAGATAAGGCAATAGCAGTAGCATTCACTTGTGTGTACATGTGCATGCATGCATGTGAAAAAGTGAACACATACTCCTGCACACATACGTGCACTCCTCCTTTATTCCTCAAAGGACACCTTCTAAAAACTGGGGAGGTGATGGAATGGAAAGGAAAATCTAGCTCCTTGCTGAGCTCAGCCATGTCTTCATGGGACAAAGGACACGGTGGTCCTGGTAAAAGCAGCCCCAACGTTGGCCACAAGAACAGAGCTGACAAGAGCTGACACTGCTCAATAGCTGTTGGTTAATGTCTCTCATGTCTCTTTCATGTCTCAGGATTTTGTTACTGCTCTGTCGATCCTACTGCGAGGAACCGTCCATGAGAAGCTCAGGTGGACATTTAACTTGTACGACATCAATAAAGATGGCTACATAAATAAAGAGGTAACTGCATGGAGGCTGGGAGCACGTAAAGGAAGTGACTTTCAGCAACGGGCTTAAGTTTCCAAGACGATGAGGATGGTACAGGATAAGGCAGAGTTCAGGCTGACTGTTCTCAACTTTACAGCACCTAAGAACAACGATAAGCCGATGTGAGGACAGAACTCTGAATTAGGTTTGATTCAGCTTTGGGACCAAGAAGGTGGTGCCTAGTAAAGTTAAAAATGCCACCTTTCACTACTCTGATTGTCTAACTCTGTCATGGGCCCTGGCTCTTAAGAGATTTATTCAAGCAGATTTGTTCTCACACAAAACTCAAACTTATTCCCATCAAGTTAAATCTAACTCATCCTGACCCTCTTCTGGGTTTCAGAAGCTGCAGATGGCAGAGGTAAATGCCCTTCTTTCTCCCAAGAATAGAATCAGCTGGTGCCTTTGAGCTAGGAGAGAATCCACCATTGTGTTAGCAAAACTTCGTTCTCACAAGGGTGCAAATAAATGTACATTTGAGTCTAAAGAATTGCTTTTCTTACAGAAACTTGCCATTTAGCAGCTTACCAACCACACATTAAAGCTCAAAGCTGGTTAACCTCACCACACTCAATTCACCACATCACCAGAGCTCCTTTAAAGCTTAAGCTTGGAATGACATAGGTGTCAGCTAGTAGAGAATCATGAGGTGGTTTACCAGTGACTGTCGAGTCAACTCCAATTCATAATAGGTTACTTCCTACATATGTCAGTGTAGAAGTGTATTCTGTAAGGTTTCTAAAGGCTTGGATTTTTAGATGTAGTTTGCCAGACCTTTCTTGTGATGGACTTTTGAGTGGATTTAACCCTTTAACCTTGTAGCAGCCAATGAATTATTTGGTACCAGCCCACATCCTCCTTTCTGAGCAAAAAAGGACTATGATGCTAGTAGTTCCATCTATTTAGCCTGTTGACACTGACAGGAAGAGTGATAGGAGAAACAGCCATATATTAAGAGGTCCTCACAAAGCATGTCTGAAAGTTCATGCATTAATGCTTTTAGAATATCAGTGTCTGTAGTACCTACCTAATACAATATAGACAGGTCAGTCTCTAAACTCAGATGAATACTGCCTCTGTGGGAGCTTGAAGTTAGCACCCTCAACACGCTAACACAGGGATTATTAAGTGCTCAGTTGCAAACTGCAAGGTTAACTGTTCAAGTTCAGTAGCTGCTATGTAGGAGGACGATGTGTGGTCTGCTTCTTTAAAGAGCATGGATAGATAATGAACACTGTAATGAGCACTGCATTGCAATAGATGAGGGGAAGAAAAGAAATATATGATTTGACATAATATGTATGGCAACAATATGGAACAATAGGTGCTTTGCAAAATGCACTGGGGGAGGAGGGGGGAGAAGAAAAGGGAAGGAAGTGAACAACAACAAATGAATAAAAATCTATTTAAAAAAAAAAGAGAATAAAACTATGGAAACCCTATGGGGCACTTGCCTCCTGTCCTTAAGGTGCACTGAGTACATTCCTGTTTACTGGCCTCATACGTGGTAGGCCCAGTGGTGGGGGTCTGAGCTAAAGACAGTTCTGAGAGGTAATGGCTTTACAGAGAGGAAACTAAGTTTCAGAGAGTTTACCCACCTTGCAGTGCTCAGTCATGTAGTCATGTATTCACACAACACATATATTAGGGGTTAGGAGGCATTCTGTAGGAACCCTGATGTCCTAGCAGTAAGCTGAACTGAAAGGGTGGCAGTTTAAATCACCAGTCACTCCGTGGGCACAAGATGAGGCAGTCTGCTTCCTGGAAGATCACACTCCCTATGGGCAGTTGCGCTGTGTCCTGCAGGGTTGCTGTGAGTTGAAATCGATGACACGGTAGTGAGTTTATGAAGTATTCTGAATGCTGGAGCTAGGATGACAAATAGTCAGATGAGGTTCATGTTCAAGAAGCAGAGCAGAGAAATGGATGTTGTATTAGGCTGGATTGTCTAGAGAAGCAAAGAATCAAAACTGTGATTAACTGTTGGTATTGTTTTTGTTATACACCTTCAAGTAGACTATGACTCCTAACAATCCCATAAACAGTGGCTTTGAACTTTGCCCTATCCTGAGCCAACCTCATGATCTCTGGCACACCTGACCCCATAGTCATAGTCATTGTGTCATTCCATCTCATCCAGGGTCTTCCTCTCATGCACTAATCCCCCACGCTCCCGACCATGATGTCCTTGGACTGGCCCCTCCTGATACCATGCCCAAAGTATATGAGGCAGAGCTTCAAAATCCTTGCCTCCAAAACCAGGTTTCAACCTTTCTGGGACCCTTTCCTATTTATTCTATTGATAGCTCATGGTATGTTCAATAATTTTCTCTAGCACTACAATTTAAATATTTTGTTTCTTCCTTTTTCATCCAGCTCTCAGATGCATAGCAAGGGATCGGGAAGACTATGGCCTAGATCAGGCACACCTTAGTCTCTGGACTGACATCATTGCTCTTTAACACTCTGATGAGGTCACTGATAGCAGATTTTCCTAGTGCATTTCGTCTTTTGATTTCCTGACTGCTAGTGCCAAGAGTGCTGATTGTGAACCCGAGCAAGGTGAAATTGTTAACAAATTTAATCTTTTCTCCATCTATCATGGTGCTGCCTATTGGCCTTGATGCAGGATCTGTTGTTGTTGTTAAGTGTTGTCCAGTTGTAGACGACTCATAGTGACCCTATGAACAAAAGACCTGAGCACTGTTCATAGAGTTTCCAGAGGCAAGCCATTTCAGAAGTGGATGCCACTCCTGCTTCCAAGCTCATTTTAATCAAGGAGCTCCACCAAACACTGTCCACCATGAGGAACCATTATTGCATTTGGCAAATCAGTGTCACAGTGTTTAGCACCGCAGCAACCTCTGTACAGCAAGTGGACAGACCAGTGCTATATACCACATAGAAGAATGGTTGCCAAAAAACAATTTAAACCAGGCCTGAGGGCCACAGATTTAAATCAGCCACCTTGGACTTGGTAGCATAACTTTCTGTCTACTAGGCCAACGTAGCTCTGTCTGTGTTGTCATTGTTATTGCTGTTAAGTGCCGTTGAATCATAGATGCAGAAAGTAGAGAGAAGAAATACTCTACTCAGTTGATTGGTGCTCATAGCATATTCCATTAAAGGAATAAGTCCATTGCATCAAACCTCAACAAGGGAGTGACTGCCTCGTAACTGCCAAATCAGAGGGGCATAAGCAGCCAAGGTGGTAGACAACTCCAGCCATCACAGACACTAAACTGGCAAAGTGTAAATCCACAGGTAAAGAGTATTTTGGCAGGAAGTTTAGCAAAACCCAGTCTGGGAAGGCATTACTACCCTGGAACATCTCACCGGTGTGATGTGGAGAACATCATTTGCTCCTGCCCCGTAGTCAGCATGGTGCTCGATGCTAGGCCCAGAGCATGTGGGATCTAGCAGATGTCCTTCCAGAGCTTGCAGTCTATAAACCAACCCATAAAACAGCATCACGGTTTCCGTAATTATGTTCTGAGCACCTACTCCATGTCAGAAAACATTCAAAGGCTGGAACAAAAACATGACAGGATTTGGAAACTCTATATCCCATCTTGAAAGAAGTGTAGCCATAGCTTTCTGTTGTTATTGTTGTTGTGTACCATCAAATTGCAACCAGCTCATAGCTGATCCTCCAGCAGATTGTGAGGATGTAAATTGCAGAAGAGACTGCCTTTCTTCCACAGAGAAGCAACAATATAAATTTAGAAACTAAGGTGCACCTGATCCAGTCCATGGTCTTCGCAGTTAATTGCTATGCATCAGAGAACTGGATAATGACTAAGGATGATAGAAGAACTGATGCCTTTGAGTTGTGGTGCTGGAGAAGAGTCTTGGACATGCCATAGACTGCCAAGAAAACAAATAGGTCTGTCTTGAAGAGGGTGAAACCAAGTCTTTCCCTGAAGGCTAGGATTTTGAAACTCTCATACTTTGGTAATGTGATCCTTGGAGAAATAGTGCAGGAGGAGATAGATTGATGCAATGACTAGGACAATGGGGGTTGATGTGTCAGAGTCAGTGAGACTGGCTCAGGACAGGGCAGGCTTCAGAACTGCTGTACATAGGGTCGCTATGAGTCACAGGTGACTAAACAGCACGTAACAACATTTCCCCATCAGTCAATAAATGTGACTACTATATTCCTTTTATAGAAAGGAAAATATTTATTTAAAGATAAAATAGTCAACACAATCTAGTTTAAGTGAGAGATTTCTTCCTGAATAGGGAATCTGATGGAACATATTAATCCAATTGAAATCAGAAAGTTTCCTCCTCCCTCCCTTCTTCTCTGTCCTTCTTCCTCCTTTTTTTCCTGTCTTCTCTCTCCTCCTTCTTGGCAGGGATAGCAAGTTCCAGTTTCCTGTGGCATGGTCATAGGAGGGGACCCTAAGAAGGCATTTTAATTGATTAACCATTCTCCCACACTCTGTCCCTGGCTTCTCTTGATCTCTATTGGTCTTCTATTTGGTCTTGATCTTTGGTTCTTGGTTTTGTCTTTGTTCAGTACTCTACTCCAACACTATAGCTCAGGGGCATCAATTCTCATGTCATCCCTAGTCGTTGTCCAGTTCTCAGATGCACAGCAAGTAATCAGAAAGACTAATCAGACACGCTTTTGTCCTCAAATTGGCATCATTACTCTTCAATAATTTAGAGAGGTGCCTCACTGGAGACTTTCCCAGTGCAATGGAGAATCTGACTATAGAGTCTACTTTTTCACTTAGACTTTGCAAAGAGAAGCATGTAGCTCAGATTTAGTCAGATGTCACCTCTGGTCCAATCATTTGTGGCCACAAGGATAGGTCAACACATCACCTGGTACAAACACAACTCTCCAGGCCCAACCAAAGAAATTATAGATTGGGAAAGAATCTTCCATTAAGGGTATTATGACCGATCAGGATCTGAATATGCCCTCATTACCCACCTGCAGTGTCCACTTAACAGTGCAAAATACACAGAGTGCAATCAATTCTTACTGCTCATGGTCATAAAATGAAATTAAAATGTGGGTGAAGCATCGTTTAAAAAATTAGAAAGTAGGCAAGAAATGAAGCTAAACAGATGGGTTGAGAAGGTGAGACTGAATAGCTTTGTTCAAATCAGTCGTAAACATTGTGAATAACCATTCATAATATACTTGATAAAAATAGAGTTTCTTAGATTCTAGTCTTAGGAGATCTGCTTTGGGTGGATCTGAGCACTAGATATTTAGCAAATGCCCCATCCTGTTGACGCCACTGACCTAGCAGGTCCTAAGGATGACCAAAGCTATTATTTTCCCCAGCTGAAAACAGCATTAGAGCCTGTCAGGTTTTTACTTTTCTAAGTCAGAACCTTAGAAAGAGGTCGAGAGGAAAATAGCTGACCATAAGTCAACTCCAACTGACCTTAAGTATAACGAAAGAAGATGCTGCCCAGTCCTATGTCGTCCTCGGTACCACTGGCACATCTGAGTCCCGGCCCCTTTTACCTTATTGGCCCTTTTGTCACTAAACACTATGTCTTCCTCTGACAGCTGATCCCTCTACATCCAGCAGGCTGGACAATGTTTTTTGTGCTCTGTAAGGTTTCCGTGCTCTATCCTTCAGAGATAGGTTACCAGGTTGTGTGTCCTTGTCTGTTTTAGTCTGGAAGCTCTGTAGAAGCCTGTCCACCATGGGGGAGCCTGGCTGGTAGCATAATTTCCAGCAGCACTCAAGACATTCATTGCAGCATGACAAACTGACAGTGGTATATGTGTTACCATTTATTTACTCAGAGCACTGCCTTTACCCTTAGTCCCTGGAATAGGACTGCACACCTAACTTTCCTAGAGAAGCAGCCTGAGACAGAGCATACCCAAGAGCTTCTGAAAGAAAGGGAACTTTCCATGCCCTCTGTTTGAAAGTGAACTCACAGTTGGAGTAGAAAGTGACCCTTTTGCTTGATTCCTAACCTTCTTTCATTAACCTTTTTATTGGCAAAAGGGACACAGTGACCCAAACTGTCACTTTATGAGCTTGAGCTTATGGCCCTCACCCTTGTGCTTCCATGTCCCCTCTCCAGGAGATGATGGATATTGTCAAAGCCATCTATGACATGATGGGGAAATACACATATCCTGTGCTCAAAGAGGACACCCCAAGGCAGCACGTCGATGTCTTCTTCCAGGTACGTGTGTCCATCTTCCTCAGGAGAGCTTTCAGCCCAGCTGGGACTGGATAGCCCAGAGGCATCTGAGTAGGTAGTATGTGTTCAATTCTGTGCTGAGCACTGCAGGAAATAGAAAAGAATTAGACAAGGAATAAATCATCTTGATTAAGTAGGCAAATACACACCATAGAAAAGAATGCAAATAATCCCATGTAAGTGGTATAGTGTGGCTCTGAGGGCCACAGAAATTCTTGAGGCATCAGGGAAAACACAGATGACTTGACTGAGGCATTCACATTTGTACCCAAGGAATTAAAAAAAAAAATCCAAAGTTAATTGGGGAAGGCTGAAAGAGGGGGAGGGAGGAAAATATGTATCAATGAATGAAGGAAGGAAGACTCAATCTTTCTATACACTTTCACTAAAGTCACAATTAAGAAAAATTTGTAAAAGAAAAAACACCTAGGGTTGGCCCAAATTCAGAAGCAGGGAAGAAGGGAGAGGGAACTTGTTCCCTAGCCCAAGTCCATGAAGGCACCACAAGAGGCAATGAATCATGTTCTGACGCGTCATGAATATGAAAGGTGCCTGACTGAGGCAGCCTGACAAGAGGGGAGAAGTCATTGCCAACCTGTCACAGCTACCAACGCCTCCAACATCTATTCATCTTCAAACTATGGCAGGCTGTGCCACTTGGAGATTGCCCCAACCTCTGCCCCAAACTGTGGGATCATGAAAGCATTTAGTCTTCCTCGAGTGGCGTGGTGGTTAAAACACTCAACTTCCAAGCTAAAGGTCGGCAGTTCAACTTCACCAGCTGCTCCACAGGAAAAGACGTGGCAGTCTGCTTTTACTCATTGCTGTTGAGTCAGTTCTGACTCAACAACCCTCCTTTGGGTTCCAAGATGGAAGCAGATGGCCCATCTTTCTCTCATGAAGCAGATAGTAGAGTAGAACTGCCAACTTTCAGTTAGCAACCCAATTTGTAATGCATTGCAACACATGTGCTTCTTTCCCTCAGGGTTACCATCTTGGGAACTCTGTGGGGCAATTCTACTTTTCCTTTGCGGTTTCTGTGAGTCAAAATCTTGACTTTTGGTCTAGTGAATGAAGGATGTCTGCTACTGGTCTTTGAACTGAGGGATGAAATAGTCAGAATTTAGCAATGTAGTATCATCAGTTGTTGAAACTCATCCCAATACAATCCTTCCACCTTAAAGACAGGAAAACAGAGGCCAGATGAGGCTTAAGGGTCACCCAGTAAGTGAATAAGAGAAAATGAGAATCATCTGTGTCTTACAGTCTTTCTTCTAGATGGGCAGGCTGGGATAGAGTAGGGAGGACGTGTGAGGATACCAGAAAAACCCAGGCCTGAGAGTCCAGAACAAGAGTCTTAATCTGAGGAAGCTCATGGGCGAAGGAGCTCTAACCAGGGCCTGAATGGAGTAGTCTAATCCATGATAGACCAATCCAATTCTCAGGACAAAGTTGGTTCATGAAAAGCAAGTAGGAAGATGCAGGTTAACTGATTCCTTAAAGTGTTTTCTGTTGTGTCTTCCAGAAAATGGACAAAAATAAAGATGGCATCGTGACTTTAGATGAATTTCTTGAATCCTGTCAGGAGGTGAGCAGGGGTCTGAGGGCACAATGTCTCTAAATCTGGTAAAAGAAATCTGGGGTTTGGAGTTCTCAAAAGGGAGGGATTGAGAAACTTGCATGTATCTGCTACCCCTCAGGTTAATCAATACTGCTATCACCAAGAACAAACAAAAGAGCAACAGAGCAGAGCCCCAACAATCTTCACTCCTCACACTAGCCTGTAGCTGGTCCTGGCTAAACACAGGACTGAGCCAGGAAGCCCACATAAAAGACTATGAGCTGTGAAATTAGAGACCCCTACAGTGGACAACAGCCAATTTACAACCCGCTTCTGGCTTGATGGCTCATTCCTAGGACTCCATGAGTGCAGCTTGAAAATTCAGAAACCTCCAGGGCCGCTGGTGGCCTAGCGGTGAAAATTCAGAAACCTCAAGCTTTGATTCTCAAATCATAGCATGTATTGTCTGTAGATTTCAAGTCTCAGTACCAGAGACTCTTAATTCCACAAGTATGAGAGTGGGTCTACAAATCTTTATTTTAACAAAATACCCTGGATCAGTACTTCTTCAGACTAGTGAAAATGTAGTCCAAAGGCCACAGCTTCAGCATCATCTCAGAATGTTAAGATTGCTCATTCTCAGGCTTCACCATTGTTGTTGTTGTTGTTGCTGTCGAGTCACCTGTGACTCATAGCGACCCTATGTACAACAGCCCTAAACCCTGCTCTATCCTGTGCCAATCTTATTGTCTCAGACACACCTATCCCCATTATCCCAGAGACTGAGTTAATCCACCTCATAGAGGGTCTTTATCTCCTGAGCTGTCCTGTCCCTCCACCCTACCAAGCATGACATCCAAGGATTGGTCCCCCTTCTTGCAACATGTCCAGTATGTCAGACAAAGTTTCAGAGTCCTTGCCTCCAAAGAGAAGCCTCCTATAACCCTCTCTAGGATGAACCTGTTTGTTTTCTTAGCAGTCCATGGTATATTCAATACTCTTCTCCAGCACCACAGCTCAAAGGCATCAATTCTCCTTCTATCATTCCTAGCTATTGTCCAGCTCTCTGACGCATAAGACCTACTGAAATAGAATCTACAATATAACGTAATTGTAGTGGGAATGGCTTTGCACAGGAAAGTTTTAGAACTGGAATAATTGCTTTCATCTGCTTTGTTCTTATTGTGATGTGCCAGCTAGTTGACTGCCACTCCTAGCAACCTTATAAACTTTGTCTTAACCTGTGCCGTTCTCACAGTCTCCACCATGTTCAAGCCCATTGTTCCGTTCACTCTATCAATCCATCTTAAGGTCTTCCTCTCTTTTACTGACCATCCGCCTGCTTTCAACTCATTAAAAATCTTGTTGCCATCTAGCTGGAAACCAATTTTCAGCCTGCGCCTCTCCACCATTTCTCAGAAGCTGTACATTGCATGAGAGGAGATTGCCCTTTGTAATAGAAGCCAAGGTAACTCAGGTGTGGCTTAATGTGATCTCTACCAATGGGAATTGTCCTTATGACATCCGTAGTATCAAATTAATACTTACGAAGTCAGACATGCCCCCCCCCAATCTACTGCACCTACTTTTACTAATTTCTGGGTCTGAAATTCCTTACAAATAACTACATAGGATTTACAGAATCTCTTTTTACTCGTAGTTGTGGGGTTTACTAGGTATACAGTTTAAGAACAGGAAGGGAAACGATATCACACAGTCTAGGTTCAATGAATATCAGTCTGGAGACACAACCCACTCAAGTAGTTCAAGCAGCTTCTTAGACAACAGCAAGATACAGTCCCTCAATCCAGGCAGCTTCTCAGTCAACAAGATACCTCTGGTTTGGGAACCTCTGACCCTGAACAATGCAGACTACTTTCTCTGCTTCTTTTTTCTTGGTATTGCTGTCTCCGCCTTCAAGGGCTCTGACCCTGCCTCTCTACCTTGCCACATTCTCACTCTGGTTAGCTCTCTCTCTTACGTTGGTCCCCCTGCTGATAAGGGTGCTGAAGACATTGACTAGTAGTGGGCCACAGATCTAAAGTTGAGGCAGCTGGAGGCCATGCTCCCAGGTGGGTGGAATCTCAAAGATTCATTTTACTTGCATATTCCCACCTGGCCTTGAGGTCAGGTCTAAGGCAATGAAAAGAAGAGTCATTTTTCCCCCTCCAGTATTACTTTTTTCTATTATTATTATTATTATTATTAATTTTAATGAACATTTACAGAGAATTTGGATTTCCATTCATTTATTGTT